TAAATGCTCTCATGTTGCCAATGACAGAACTGTCAGTGTGATGTGGACATAGAATTGTACCTGTGTGTTTTATATTGACTATCTTCTTATCAGGACAACAAAGCAGATGTTATTCTAAAGTATAATGCGGATGAAGCAAGAAGTCTTAAGGCCTATGGTGAACTTCCAGAGCATGGTAATGGCAGTCACAGTACAGTTGATCATTATGTGGTGTGCTGGTATTTCGATGGCTATTCTACAATGTTTGTTTTCATTTTTAGCTAAAATCAATGAAACTGACACATTTGGCCCTGGTGATGATGATGAAATCCAGTTTGATGACATTGGAGATGATGATGAAGACATTGATGATGTAAGTGCTTATTTTATAATTTGATGGTGTGTTCAGGTGTAAGTAGTAGTTATAATGATTTGGTAAAGTACTGCAGAAGGTTCCATCATTCGTCAGCATCTGACTCGTATATGATTATGTCCAAAGGAAAAATCACTGAATCTTGGCCTCCAGCGTTAGTAGCTCAAAAAAAAAAAATAGTTTCTTCGTTGGAGAGATTTAACCGAACAGCGACAGGGAACATGAAGGGGAAATGTCCCTACCACGGACAGAATAGTAAAAACTCAGGTTCTAAAACCTCCCCAATCTGTCCAAAACAAATATTTTTGTCTGGAGTTGTGCTCTAAGGGCTTCAGGGCACAGCAACAGGTTTGTTTTTAACTCTTTCATCCCCGGTAGCATATGCTTGCTTTTCCTTTGCTCAGCTCCAGAAGCCAGAGGAAATTCTTGGTCTTTCTGGGTACGGAAGAGCATGCAAATTTGAGACAACACTGTGCCAATTGGTGCTGCCACAGGAGAATCAATAGCACTGTATGAGCCGCAATCCCAGCAATTTGTGGTTTATGTGGGGCTTTGCTTTCACTGCTGGAGGTGAAACTAAAGTAAGGCATGTATGTGTTTCTGTGAAGGTCTTCATTAAAGTGAACCTGTTTCTTTGCTGCAATGGATTCACTTTAGTGTGACAGCACAGTAGAAATATGCTGCTCCAGTACCATTGGTGCTGTCAGAAATTCTACATTTGGATCAACCGTCAAGGATTGTATGAATTATACTTAAAAGCCAATTTTTTTGTTTGATGGAACTGACTTCTTTATTTCCTTTTTTGTAGATTTAACCTGGAGAGACGTTTATTCCATTCCAATTGCTGCAGATTTTTCTGGTTTTGATTTTGAGTGAAGTCCTCCCCGTTGAGACGATATTTTCCCGCCACTCAATAAAATTTATTTTCACAATTTTAAAGTATTTATATTCTTTCAGTAGAGGTCATTCATGCTGGATACATTGGAACACCCGAGCTTTAAAATACCCTCTGCCTGTAATCGATTGTAATGTTCGGCTTTTCAGTTTGGCACGCCTTGTGTACATGATTTTGAATTCTTATTGTAACTATCATGGCTATTTGGTTCCTATGAAAACATTAAGGTTAAGTTGGAAGATGCTTCCTCACTCTCCATTGGACTCGGCGGTGTTACCAATCAGTCCAGACAGAGACCCAACGCTTCCTATGTTTTTACCATGTGACTAGTTTTATACACTTACTGAAGATATCAGTCCCATGTTTCTGCAGTCTGTCAGTCCTGGGCTTGAGTTTGCCATCGTTTTAATGCCACTGTACAACAGCTACATCAGTGAAGTGATGAGGCCTACCTATGGACTCTCCCTTTTATCCCCCTTTTTTTTTTTTTTCCTTATTAAAATACCAGATTGTATTTTTGTTTTTCAGTAAATAAATGCCTAACCATATGTTTCTCTTTTTTTTTGTTTTTAAGAACTGTATAATATTTTTTTACTATACGCAAACTACTTGTATTATGCAGGAATCTTATTGCACACCAATAAGGGGAAAAATGTTTAACTCGTGGAGTTTAGTACAAGTTGTTTGCCCTCTAAAATGCACGTGCCTGACATTTTCCAGCTTGTGAGCCACATCCAAATAATTTGAGGCAGCATTTAGGGGTTTGTTATGGTAACATCTTTATAAACCAATTAGTCTGTGGTAACACTAGTTTTTGGAGCTATTAGCGTATGAGAAGTGTATAATGCTGGTGGTATTCAGTTATGTACTGTGCTATTTGTGGCCCCCATGCTGCTGGTTGACCATTGCCCTAAAGCAAAGTAATTTCTCACGTGTTTTATGAATAGGCAAGTCTATTAAAGGTAAATGAAAAGTGGAGGGGGTTGTCCATGGCAACCATTTTTCAGCTTTTAAGCCAGTAATGCCTTTACATTTATAATTTGTTTGGACCCGGCATGAGCCAGATGAAGTCTGAGATCTCCATGTGATAAAATGATTCCTTCTAGTACTATTATAGTTGGGAAATTTGTGCAAAGAAATGTTTTACAGTTGATTTTATAGCAGCTGATTTGTTTTTCAGCAGAACATTACAGAACGTAGGTGGTCATATTTGCTGGCTGTTAAAAAAAAACCGCAGCAACTTTGCTCTGGTTTTCTTCATTTGGTTCTAGTATTTCCCATGATGCTTCTCTGGGATTATTAACTCCACATTTTGGTTTTCTTCCCTCACTGGTTAAAGCGTTGAATCGGTTATGGTCTTGTACAAACATTCTTTGGCATCTCATGCACCCCCTTCCATCTGTGGGGCACTTGGCATGTTGTAGAATTTGTCAATGGTATGTACAAGGCTTAATATACAGTTTGTGCATAACAACCTAGTGTGGGAAACCCGGACTGTTAGTGGTTCCTGAGAACTGTAGATAGTAGGCACTTACTGAAGAAAACCTTACCGGTCTTTTGGTAAAGAGCCACAGTAAACTGATATGTTTGTCAAAGGGAAACTATACTACATTTTTAGTGAGTAGACATTTTGGTCATATTTTTGCTTGAAAACTTATTTGCTACTTTAACATGCTTGCTGTTCCATATTTTAATATTTGTCATATAAAAATGTGCAGTGTCTCCTCTGGTGGCTGTATGCTTGATGTCCCTGCTTGAACAGCTGCTGAGATCGAACCAGCCACAGTACTGAGAGAGACCGGAAACAGCAAAGCATAGTTAGTCAAACTGGAAGCACATTCTGTGTTTGCAGTGTGCCACTATGGCTGCGTCCAGATACTTAAATCATTTTCAAACTATACAACACACATTGATAGAATTTATTTACATAAAGCATCAATTGCGTTATGTTATTTAACAACTATTTAAACTGTAAAAATCTTCCTTTCTGGATTTAATGCACATTGGGGTGAATTTATCAAAACTGGAGCAGCTGTGCATGGCAACCAATCAGCTTCTCTCTTCAGTTTGCTCAGTTAAGATTTGAAAAGGAAAGAGAGAAGCTGATTGGTTGCCATGCGCAGTTGCTCCTGATTTTTGTCTGCTCCAGTTTTGATAAATTCCTCGTGATGTTTGCGTCAACCACCCCCCGCTACCCCTTGAGTGTGCCAGCTTCTTTTGACTGCATAATATTGTATATTGTATAGTGTGTGAATTAAATTGTGTACAGATGGATATAAGTGGAACTTCTATGGGCCTGTGTTTTCCGACATATTAAAAAATGTTCTAAAGAAAGATACCATGCGACTTCTGAATGGAAAAAAAATGTCATTTAAATGCATAATAAAGATTTGTGCGTACATTTTTTTTTTTTTTTAGTTATTTGTGAAAATAAATAATTGTGTATGAGGGGGTATGTACACATAAGAGGATTTGTTTACATGAATTCTCTTTACAGTAGTAAATGTGGGAGGTGTGGTTTGTCAGGTTTTGATAAAAATAAAAAAACTCTGCTGATTGGCAGAAATCCGGTGTGCTCCTAACTTCCTGGTTGGGCTGACAACCATGCCACTGCCACACTGAAATTGCAAACAGTGTTGTCAGCCCTGTTCAGTTATCCCTACTGGATTACAACATGCTTACACCTCTCTGTAACATATGAAGGGATGTTGTTTAGTCCAGAAGGGAGAGCCGTGGCAATCCTGGTTGCCTCTGCTGCGCTGAAAATTCAAGCACTGCTCTGTGTTGTCACCTCAAACAAGAATTCAGGACAAGTAAGCCAGTGCCCTGCTTCAGATCCAAGCCTGTGCACTCCCTAAACTGTGTGGAAATTAGGAGCACACTGGATTTCTGGCAGGTCAACAGGAGTTTTGCCCAGGCATGCAGTTCAAACTGAAAACTTTATCGCTTACTCCTAAGGAACTACAAATCCCAACATGCTCTAAAAGCCATCATCTGTCCTTTAGGTACTCTAAGCTGTCTGACGGGAGAGAAACATTGTCCAAATCTGTGTATAGTTATTAAAATGTCCATACTGCTGCTTGAAATTCTGTTTTCGGAGACATGCTGCAGAATCTCACCTTCGTACATGACTGCAACGGTTAAGATTTATTTGCCCGGAGCTCTGCTGTAAAATTAGGTTTCTGCTCTCAGGTCTGTGGAAAGCAGCTGACCATTTTTTGTTCCAGTGTTAATATTTGACAGCAAAGTTTGAGTTAGTTTTAGTCCTAGTCTTTCAATTAGTTGCCATTTTTAGTTTTAGTCCTCTGCATTGTTTGTTTTTAGTTGACTAAATCTACAGAAGATTAAGCTGACTAAAATCCAGTGGGTTTAGTTAAGGAGTCATTTTAAGAATGTCTCTATAATTTCTAATCTTATGATATTCTCCTGGAGTAAACATCTGTTAACCTGTTATGCCTTATGGGATGTTATACAGACACAGATTTAACAGTTATGATATATAACATGTCTTTTTATATTAAAATTAGATTAAACAAAGTCTTCTATAGAAACAATAATTTAGTATTTTTAACAATGGACCAGTAATTAGATCTGCATTGATTTATAACTTACATAGGACATGCTTTAGTCTCTCCAGCAGAAGTGCAACTCTACAATGTAAAATGAAAAACTATATTGGCCGTTAACGCCATTGCACATATTACCTATCAGCCGTCCATTCAGGATGGAACTGGAAGTCCGAGGAGATTAGTTCTGATTGGATCCCTTCCCAAATCGTCTCTCCCTAACATTTAAGTCTAGTTTTAGTTAGCTGACTTAAATGTCAATATATTTTCGTTCTAGCTTTAGTCATTACTTTTTATTTAGTTTTAGTCACTGAAAAACTATGACTAAAATTATTAGTCGACAAAATTAACACTGGTTACTTCATAGGAAGAAAATGTGTAGTGTTCTACCAAGGCTCATGTACAATGCATGAATGTATGTATGACAATGTGGCTTACCTACAAATGTGGAATGTCCATTCAAATTCTCTTAAAACTGGAGCTTGAGTTTCTGCGGATTACTGCAGCTCATTGCAATTTATCATCTCCATGTTATTAAAACATTGAAGAAAAAAAAAAAAGTTTGAGTAGCGAAGGGATATAATTGTGGTCAAGGATTTTTATATCCTGTTGTGATATGTAAACAGTAAAGTCAAATCTACCTCATGTGGAAACATAGCAATAATATCCTAACCAATTCTAAACCTTATCTACTCCATCAGAATAAGGTTTTGTTAACCCTGTTGGATCTCCCCTTCGCTGTTCTGTTGCCTGACATTGATCATATAAGAAGTGGGCAGAATGCTCATTTGCTGTGCTGACACCCTTCCACATTAGAGCGGCACAGTGTCTTAGTGGTTAGTTTAGGGGATTATTCACAAAGCTGCTGAAGGAATAACCGAGCCGAACGTTGTTCATTTCAGCCGTACATCGGCTGCATTTGGTCAGCTGTACATGCTCTGCGTTCGACTCAGCTGATCTAACATCTGGATTGGCTGAGCCGAAGTTCCGACAGCTCACTCACTGCCGTTTGCCCCCCTATTCTCATATGAATTTTGAGGACCCCATGTAAAAAAAAAAATGTGTGCGGTTCTCACTTAGTCATACTAGGCCCTTAAGGTCTGGTAGGAATTTTAAGGAGGGACCCCACCCCCAAAAATGGGGGGGGGATGTGGGGTCCCCCTCAAATTCCCCAACAGCAGTAAAGGGGTGGTGGAGATGAGCGAGCACCCCATACCAGGCCACATGCCCTCGGAGGGGTGCTTTTCCAGTCCCCCCCCCCCCCATGGGGACAAGGGCCTCTTCCCCACAAGCCCTGTGGGGTTGCAGGCAAGGGGGGTTATTTATAAAAGGGTACCCAGATGTGCCCCCTTAGTGAATAAGTAAGGGATCCTTGCGCCCCTACCCATTCACTAAAGGGTTAAATAAAAGATAAAAAGTCTACACTTTTGAAAAAAAGTCCAAAATTGTTTTTTTTTTTAAATGGATCCACCGACATAATCCTAAGGTCAATCACGACGTCCAGCGTTGTCCACGATGACGACTCGGCACAATAAAATAATTTAAAAGGCGACCCGACGAACTACCGACGCAGAATGAACAATCTAACAGATGCCGCCAAAATATAAACAATTGGGCGGAGCTAGTGGTGACATCACCGCTAGCTGCGCCCAACTGTTTACATTTGAACGGCACCTGCCAGAGTATTCCAGCAGGTCCCGGAGCAATAAAAACAAGGCGGAGCCGGCTGTGATGCCACGGACGGCTCCGCCCAGTTGCTGTTTAATGACAGACCAGCATCCCCAGGTCATTGGAGGACCCTGATCTGTCATTACAGTACAACTGGGCGGAGCCAGCTGTGACCTCTTGGCACACTCCGCCCAGCTGTTGTAATTTACGCGGATGAGTCCTTCGCCTGCTGTACGGGCTATAGTGAATAGCCCGAACAGCACCCCTTTGGGGCTCCAGCGGCCGAAGCAGTTTGCATGTTCTCCCTGCGCTTGTTTCCTCCCATACTCCTTCCGTGCTGGAAGGTTAATTGGCTCTGTCTAAATTTGCCCTGTATACGTGTACAATAGGGACCTTCGTTTTGTAAGCTCCTTGGGGGCAGGGACTGATGTGAATGCACACTGTAGAGTGCTGCAAAAATTGTCAATGCTACATAAATACTAATAATAAAGAGAAATGGAGGCACGGCAATAAGAAGTTCTGTGGTTGTAACTTCTTCCCCATACTATGCAA